AGACAAATTCTTGTACATAGGTATTACATGATTAATGCATGGATTAAATATAAATGTAAAGATACAATTTAGGGCCAAGAATAATATGTGTGTGTGTGTGTGTGTGTGTGTAATTTTTTCTGACGTTACCTTACTGGGCTTGAATGTAGGACCTTGAGCTCTTGCTCAGCTTTTTTTTTTCCCCCTAAGAGCCAGCTCTCTACCATTTAAGCCATACCTCCACACCTGGGTTTTGATGCTTAAGAGGAGATAAAAGTGTCATGGATTTGTCTGCTTGGGCTGGCTCCAAATCTTGATTCTTAGATCTCAACTCCCTGTGTAGCTAGAATTACATGATGTTTTGATAAGCTATTTCTCTAGAATCCAAAAGGCTTTTGAAGAATAAACAAATGCCTGGCAAATATTGGATACTTAAGGAATATGTGTTAAGGAGAAGAAGTGCTTCACTAGATGGATGAAGTTTTTCTCATTAGCACAAAAGAAGAGAAAAAGCAAGTGTGAGGTCTCAAGTCTGTACTCTAGCTACTTGGGAAGTACGGAACAGGGGATTCAGGCTGAAAGCCAGCCCAGGCATGAATGTTTGAGAGATTCCATTTCAACTGATAGCTGGGCACAGTGCTACACACCTGTTATCTCAGATATAGGACCTGCCTAGCAAGCATGAGGCCCTGAGTTAAAAACAAACAAAAACCACGAAGCTGGGCACCTGACTCATACCTGTAATCCTAGCTACTCAGGAGACTGAAATCTGAGGATCAAGGTTCAAAGCCAGAAAAGTTCTTGAGACTCTTCATCTCCAGTTAACCAGCAAAAAGCCAGAAATAGAAGTAAAGTACTAGCCTCGAGCAAAAAAGCTCAGGAACAGTGCTCAGGCCCTGAATCCAAGCCCCAGTACTGGCACAGAAGAAAAAAGTAACCCCTGGTACAACACAAATGCAGCAACAAACTGAATAAGAAAATGGATGTATTCTATGAAAATGAGGATTATCCAGTAACAGTCCACAGCATGGATGGCTTATGACCTGAGTTCCATAGTGATTCGCTTCTCTATAATAGAATTCATTTGTGCACTCGTTTGTGCATTCTCATTAGGACTGCAAGTCACATCTTTTTAGGGATAAGGTATAGAACAGTTGCTTTGAGTCTTTAGAGACTGTCAGATCTCAAACTTTGCATGTATCACATGACCATTCTTCAAAACCCAGGTGGTAGCCTGCCTTCGGCGTGTCCAGTGGATCTCAAGAGTTTGCATTTCTTTAAGTCCCTGGGAGATGGTAATGGTGCTGAATATGGACTATACTGCTAAACTACTGCGTCCTACACCAGGGGAGAGTTTCGTGTACCAGGTACTCATATATAAAGCAGGAGGCAAAGAGCTGCCTTTAACATTGACCGTGAGTTTTAATTTGGAACTTTGAAATGTAGCATTGAATTGAGGTTGTGGTTTAGGGTTAAAGAGTTACCTGATTAGCATGTGCTAAGATATCCAAGAGGGACTGGGAAGGTGGCTCAGTGGTAGAGTGCTTGCCTTGCATGCATGAGGCCCTGGGTTGGATTCCTCAGCACCACATAAGCAGAAAAAGCCAGAATTGGCATTGTGGCTCAAGTGGTAGAGCACTAGCCTTGATCTGAAGAGCTGAGAGACAGGGCCCAGGCCCAGAGTTCAGGCCCCACGACCGACCAACAAAACAAAACAAAAAACCCAACAGTTGGTAGTGTATAGACAACGCTCAAAAAAAAAAAATCTCACTAGTTGAGCTCTAGTGCCTCAAGCCTGTAATCTATTAGCTATTCAGGAGGCTGAGAATCTAAGGATCATGGTTCAAAGCGAGCCTGGGAAGCTAAGCCCATGAGACTTTTATCTCCAGTTAACTACATACACAAAGTGCCAGCCTTGAGGGATAAAGCTAAGGGAGAGTGCCCTGACCTTGATTTGATGCCCTTGTACCAGACCCCTCCTCTCTCTCTCTCTCTCTCTATATATATATATAAATATATATACACACATATATATGCATATCATTTTTAAGATGCTTAACCATGTTATGGCTATAAAATTTGTAGGTATGCTGGGTGCTGTGGCTCATGCCTGTAATCTGGGCTGTTTATGAGACTGAGATCTGAGGGTTGCAGTTTGAAACCAGCCCAGACAGGAAGGTCTGTGAGAGATTTATCTTCAATTAACTACCAGAAAACCAAAAGTAGCTCTGTGGCTCAAAGTGGTGGAGCACTAGCCTTAAGCAAAAGTGCTCAGGGACAGTGTCCAGGCCCTGGGTTCAAACCCCACGACTGACTTAAAAAATTTTTTATAGGTATACTTGCAAAGTGCATATGGTTATATTATTCAGACACTGATGTGGAACTCTGCCTTTCCAACATGGATGTGTCAGTTTATCATTAAAACATACTATAACTTGAAGGATGAAATAAAATAAGGGAAAGTAGAAAAGTAATTAGTAATTAACTAATTACAAACAGATGATTGTAGCAAAGCAGATGGTCGCTTTGACCTGCCCTAGCATTTTATGTGAGGTTTACCATGCAATTTATGGAGGCTGTTTCCTTGTTACCTTCAGAGTTATTGCTGTTGTCATTCTGTTCCTTGATGAACTGAGGCATGATGGGAGCCGGCCATTTCCTTTGTGCATGTTTCCTCTTTGCTGTCTCCAGGATCCCTTGTTAACTGGCTTCTTCTGCTCCCATGGTACTAAAATACCAGGTCCCACAGACCTACTCATCTGCCAATCCTTTCCAGTCTGATTGTGTGTGTGTGTGTTTGTGCATGTGCACTAGTCCTTTTGATGCTTAATTGGAGATAAGAGTCTCATAGACTTTCCTACCCGGGCTGGCTAGGAACCATGATCCTCAAATCTCGGCCTCCTAAGTAGCTAGGATCACAGGCGTGAACCACCAATGTCTGGCTTGCGTTTGCTTGATCACTGAGCAGGCTGCCCTCTCTGTGAGCCATGTCAACGTTGGCCTGTGTGATACTGTTTCCCTTCTGTATGATTGCTGCTTCTGCTCTCTTCTTTCCATCTTGGCCATGGCTGGGTGACACCTGGATGCCAGCTTCTGGTCTCCGTGTCTCCCAAGATCACAGGTGTCCTTACTCCTCACACCCTCCATCCTGGGCCTTCCTTTGTCTAGATTACACCCCCCTATCTCTTTTCTCTGCTCCAAGGATCCTGCTCTCCATCTTCCCCCGTTTCTTCATTCTTCCAGGTCTGTTTGGTCTCATGCTTGACATGTTCCTGGAGACCAGGCTCCCTGACATTTGCAGTCTCTGCCTAAACTATTTCTGTGACTCACGAGTGGGCCTTGCTACTCCCAGTGGCTCCTCTTTTACTTGTGTTGAGAATTCCATTAGGCAGATCTCCACTGCACAGCTTTCTGGGTAACCTCCTTGTCCAGGGATCCTCAGAACATGCTTGCTACATCTCAGAGATCTTGAAAGCTGGATCAGGGTTTGCCTTGTCTGCCTCCAGCCCATGAAGCTCTCCTACTGAGCTACATCCCCTCCACCCAATTCCTTTACTCCATTTATAAGGTGCAGATCAGACCCAGCTTAGGCTTCAAGACATCTTTCCTTTCTCTGATTTCCTCTTCCTGTTTCTGGGCATTCTGGGGATGTGGAATGGTGCTGTGATTGTAATCCTATCTTAGACCATATGTTTCCTGAGTGTGTGGTTTCGGGGAAAGGCAGAATACCTTGAAGCCCTTGTTAGGTCTCTTAGCTAGAAGGATGGCTGATGAGTTCATTCAATCTTTTGTGTGTTGTTAGTTCGTGGTGGCCCTAAGGCTTGAACTCAGGACCTGAGCACCATCCTTGAGTTTCTCTTGCTCAAGGCTAGCATTCTGCCACTTGAGCCACAACTTCAGTCCCAGCTTTTTTTTGGTGGCTAATTGGAGATAAGAGTATTATGGACTTTCCTGCCTGGGTTAGCTTTGAACTGCTATCCTCAGGTCTCAGCCTCTTGAGTAGCTTGGATTATAAGCATGAACTACCAGTGCCGGGCTTTCATTCAGTCGCCTCCAGTGCCCAGTTTTCATTTAGTCTTTGACTTTGACAATAAACAGTTTAAAGCCTGTGTGTCAGGGTTTGGCAGTTTGAATTCTTCGGGACAAATTGGTTCTTTTCCCCATTTATGTGAAAAAGTTCTATAGCAAAAGCACTCATATTGTCAGAATACTTCACTGGACTGACCTACAAGTCTGCCTCCCCGTCTACACCATAGTTCAGACTTTAAAGGATACAGTGTTAACTGTGAAGGAAATAATGTGTGTTTAACCTCCTAGCCTCTGTCTTCTACTTTCTGGCCCATCTTTGAGGGTGCCAGACTTAGGATGTTGGGGTATTTATTTCCTTTATTTAAAGTGAACTGCAGTGACTTTTATGGTAAGAATGCAGTTTAACTGGGTTTGGTCTTTAGTATCTTGACATAAGGGTGGGAATATCTAGGTTGAAGTTAGACTGTCAAACTGTATATAATTAGATCTACCTCTGAAACTAGTTGGTAATCTCAGTAAAACACAAACAAACAAAAAACCCAAAAACAAAAACAAAACTCAGCCAGCCAAACACTGCCTGTGGTTCCCACCTTAAACCTAGCTACTCAGGAGGCTGAGATCTGAGATCTGAGTTGGAAGCCAGCCTAAGTAGGAAAGTGTGTGAGACTCTTATCTCCACTGAACTACCAAAAATACTGGAAGTGAAGCTGTGGGGCTCAAGTTTGTAGATCATTAGCTTTGAGCAAAAGAAGCTCAAAGACAGAGTCCCAGCCCTGAGTAAAAGTTCCCCCACCCCACTCCCACATATCCAGCAAGGGTCTTTCAGCTATACCCTGTAATGGTACCAGCCTTGGAACCTTCCTGGTACTTTGCTCTGCATATATTGAGAAGAAAGCAGGGGTGCATTCATCATCAGCACTCAGAGTTTAAATTGTATGGACCTCTACATTAAAGCTATGTTCCCCCCCCCCCCTTCTTTTCTTCCTTTTTAGAGGGACGCATGGTCATCCAGGACATTCCTGCTGTCACCAGCAGAGGGCACGTGGAGAACACACCTGACCTGGTTTCAGACTCCACCTACTACAGCAGCTTTTACCAGCCATCTCTGTTCCCCTACTACAACAATCTGTACAACTACCCGCAGTACTCCATGGCCCTGTCTGCTGAGTCCTCTTCTGGGGACGTGGGAAATTCCCTTGGGGGGTCCCCCGTGAAGAACAGCCTTCGGAGCCTTCCAACACCTTACGTGCCTGGTCAGACAGGAAACCAATGGCAGGTAGGATACTATCAAGAAGACTTAACCGGATATGTGAAACACTCACACACATGCTCAGTGAGGCATGCGTGTACACATGTGTAGGCACAGTATGTAAGTCGTACAAAGAGTCTTCCCCTCTGCTAATAAAGCCATTTAACCCCATAGGTTGATTGTGGGGATCCTGAGAAGAAATATGCATCTGTTTGGGTTCACTTTTGATTTTTACTTGCTCACACTGGCATTTTGCATAAATTCCCTGTCAGCCAGAGTTAGGTGTGCAAGTAGTTTGAGCCCTTAGGAAAAACTAGGCTCAGTTTTCTGAGCAGCACTACTCTTCCTGAGGAATTTGTACCCTGGGAAGGGAAAATGTTAGAATGCATGTGTTTGCATGGAGAACGGTAAGGGAAGGAATTGGGTCATCATTTGTGGGGCCGATGTGATTGCATTTTTTTTTTTACTATAAATTGAGGTCGGTCTTTCATACTTCATGCATTGTTAAAAGACCGTGCAAGTCTGGTGCTGGTAGCTGTTGAGACAGAAGGTAATCCTAGCTACTCAAGAGGCTGAAATCAAGGTTGGACACTAGCTTGGGCAGGAATGTCTATGAGATCCTTGTCTCCAATTAACCGCCAAAAAAAACTGGAAGTAGAGCTCTGGCTCAAGTAGTAGAATTCTAGCATTAAGCAAAAAATAGGGGTATTTGTGCTCAGGCCCCGATTTTAGCAAAACTCTTAATGCTGGCACAAGAAAACAAACAAAACCCCCAACAAACTCTGATATGAAAATGGACCACATATGAGTACCCATGGAATGATTTCTTTATCTTTGGAGGAAACATTTTTGACTCATTTAGGATATAGAAATTGTAAAGGATAGATATGGTACCAAATGTGTTCATTAAAATACGTATGTCAGGCTGGGAAGGTGGCTCAGTGGTAGAGCACTTGCCTTGCATGCATGAGGCCCTGGGTTTGATTCCTTAGCACCACATAAGCAGAAAAAGCCAGAAGTGGCACTGTGGCTCAAGTGGTAGAGCACTAGCCTTGAGCTGAAGAGCTGAGGGACAGGGCCCAGGCCCAGAGTTCAGGCCCCACGATTGAAAAAAGTATTTGTGTGTGTGTGTGTTGTGTGTGCACGCGTGCGCGTGTGTGTATGTGTCATAAAAAGTATTTTGTTATGAAGTCATATAAACCTACAGATGGTAGGTACTTTTAGCTAATATTGAAAGGATAGGAATGGATTCAGATTACTTTGTAACCAGAATGATCATTGTAGCTTAGCAGAGAAGCATGAGGGCAGAAGATGAGGTGCCCTCACCTTGCTTTGTTTCTGGGAAGTCCTTGACTCTGCTCTTTGGGTAGTGCCTTTCCCTCCTGGTGACAGCTACTCAGGAGAGGGTGGATGGGATGGGTTACTCCCATGGCTGCTGCCTTGTTTTTCTGTTCCCTTTGGGAGGTTTTCCTCAACTTACCTGTGCATGCCTGTCCTGTTTTGCTGCCTGGTGCCCTTGGCCACAGCTAGGCTTAGCCCAGAGTTAAAAGCAGAAGCCAATCTTTTGTATTAACTTGACCCTATTTCTGAGACCCAACTTGCTTCATAACTCTTGACTAGATGGAGTCTTCTTTGTGTACTTTGTCTGCCTTTCCTTGCAACATTGAGTACCACTGTGTGCCCTGTGTTTCTCAACCTAAAGCAGCTCCACTTTCTGGTTCCTAGAAAATGCCAACTAGTAGAAATGATCTTTTTTTTTTAAAGCTACACTTCTTACAGATAGACATTCGATTATTCATATAATGACTCCATGGGAATTTCTGTAGAGTTGAGACTACTGTAAATTTCCTTATAAAAATCCAGCAAGCTGGGCTGGGAAGGTGGCCCAGTGGTAGAGCGCTTGCCTTGCATGCTCGAGGCCTGGGTTCGTTTCCTCAGCACCGCATAAGCAAAAAGAAGCCGGAAGTGGCGCTGTGGCTCAAGTGGTAGAATGCTAGCCTTGAGCTGAAGAGCTGAGGGACAGTGCCCAGGCCCAGAGTTCAGGCCCCATGACCGGACCCAAAAAAAAAAAAATCCAGCAAGCTGCATAATACCTACTAAGTGCAAAACCTATTTAAAAAGAAAGGAGAAAGCAGTCTCTTGGGACAGCCTCTTACAATTGCTGAGCGTGTTCCTGTGACTGACTTGGAAGCCGAGAGCTGCTTGAATCGCTTCTGCTCTATCCCCAGGCCTGCAGAGATTTGTGGCCCAATCATAGATTCCTGTCCTGTTGTGAAACAGGAATAACATTTGTGACACTGGAACAAACTCAGGATGAATGGCTGGTTCCGCTGACCAGCAGCTCAATTTCGCTTCTGCATTTAATTGCCTGCAAAAGCTGTTTATTGCCCTGTGCACTCCTCCACGGCAACATTATCTCTTAAATAAACATGTTGTACCAGGTTGACAAGGGAGAGGTGCATAGGAAGTGAGCAGAAATAAATATGGGAGGGCTCCCAGCTGGGCCTGAGATTTCCTTCAGGCCTAGGGCGGGCGCCTTCTTGATTGCTTCCTTGCAGTTTGTGCTACCACATTCTAGCCACAGTTAGGCATGGTCAGATGGCAGCCTGGGTGATTTCATTCCTCCTGATAGTCATTTAGGTCTCAGTCTGACATCTTCCATGATATGGTTGCCTATTGCTAATTACGTTCCTCACTGGAATGCATTCATTTATTAAATAAACATGTATCAAGCAGGTAGGACGGATCCCTGAATAGAACAGAAACTTATAATTAAAACACAATAGGGTGCCTGTCTTTAACAATAATTTATTGTTATGTTTCAGAATAGTTAAAGGAGATCCAAACGTTTGACCTGACGGATATATGTCCAATTATCCTGATTTGATCATTATACCTGAGATGCATAAAGTGGAACCATCTCATGGTGCTTTAGAAACATGTACACTTATTATTTGGCCATGAAATTAAAATTTTAGGAAAGAATTAATGAAAGGTAGAAAAGGTGGAGAGGAGATGGGAATTGCCTATGTAATACCATGTGTTTGAACTAAGATACAGACAGAAGGAGACCAGATTCCAGCATCTAAGAAAAGGCACCCCTTATGGGTGTTTCTGTAATGGCACTCCAGCACCTTTAGCCTGGTAGGGGGCCAAAGGGCAAGACCTGGCCCAGATAGTATGGGCTGTGTATGGGGGGATAGGATCTTACTATGTAGTTAAGGTAGAACTCAAACTCTCAGTCTTCCATGCTGAGGTTGCAGGCATGTGCCACTTTGTGCAGTTTGCAAATATTCTATCATTTAAAAAATTGAGCTGGGTGTCAAGTGCCTTTGCTCATAATACTAGCTATTCAGGAGGACAACAGACAAATCCAAATGGGAGATTCTTTATCACCAATTAATCAGCTAAAAGCTGGAAATGAAGGTGTGGTTCAAATGATAGTGCTATCCAGGAGTGGAAAAACTTGAGTGAGAGGGTGAGGTCCTGAGTTCAAGTCCCAGTACTAACTTATATGTGTGCATGTGTGTACAAACACACACATGTGCGCGCGCACACACACACACTCAGGCAGACATATAGATAGAAGGTATGTTTGGGAGAGGTGTTTACCAGGTGCTCATTCTACAGTCCTGTGACAGTATATGAAGCTGTCTGTCTGTCTCATAACCTTATGTCATCACCGGCAACAAAACTAACCATGACTCACTTTTCTAGAGCAAATGTGGTTATTAGACAGGAATTGACTGGCCTTTTCCTCCACAAAGATAAACTGACAGTATTTTTAAGCAGTCATATGCATTTATAAGGACAAATCCAATTTAAAATTTTTTTAGAGCATTTGCTCCAGGAAGAGGGGATGAAAATAGACACGATATTTGTCTTAAGCAATTTTTTGTTGCTGTTTTGTTTCTGTTGCTACTGGGGAGTGAACACCACACCTTGCGTTCACCAAGTGCTTTACCTCTTGAGCCACACTTCCAGTCCTTTTTTTTTGCGTGTGTGTGTGTGTGTGTGTGTGTGTGTGTGTGTGTGTGTGTGTGTGTGTGTGTATCATGGTTTGAATATAAGACCTTGCTCTTTTTTTGAGGGGGGGGGTCCAGTTGTGGGGCCTGAACTCTGGGCCTGGGCGCTGTCCCTCAGCTCTTCAGCTCAAGGCTAGCGCTCTATCACTTGAGCCACAGCGCCACTTCCAGCTTTTTTCTTTTTGCTTATGTGGTGGTGAGGAATTGAACCCAGGGCCTCATGCATGCAAGGCAAGCGCTCTACCACTGAGCCACCTTCCCAGCCCCCAAGACCTTGCTCTTTTTATCTTGGCTTTTTCATTCTTCTGTGGCACTTGAACCATGCCTCCAGTCTTGCATTGGTTATTTTTGAGGTAAGGTCTCACTTTATAACCAAGCCAGTCTGGGCTGTTATCCTGGCCTTGTGCCCTTTTACCCTGGAGCTAACAGGCATATACCACAGTGTCCAACCGAGCTCAGCTATTGGCTCAATGGAGTCTGAAGAATGTCTTTCTTACTCAGGTTGGCTTCAAACCACAATCCCCTCCTCATCTCTGCTTCCAAACTCACTAGGATTACAGGTTTGCACCAGTAGTATGTCTGCCATAATTTGTTTTATTTTTAAACACTTTTTGTTTTTAATATTTTTTTTTGCTAGTACTGAGGATTGAACCCAGGGTTTTGGCTTCCTGGAGATCCTCTTGAGTCATACCTCCAGTCCTCAAATTTTGTTTCTTAAAGGGAAAATACAGAAGCATACATTTCTGTGGATGCTTAAAGGATTCCTTTTATACCTTTTCTAATGCTATCATGTGCATTTATTTTATATCTAGTCACCTTTTTACAGTACTTTTAATTTTAAGTAGTTAAATTTTTGTTTTAAGGAGTTAAAACTTTATTTTAAGTAGTTATTACTAAGTAGTTGTAGAAGGGGTTACAGTTGTCTAAATCAGGTTATAAGGACAATGTTTCTTGGTCAGTGTCACCCCTTCCTTTTTGTTCTCCCCCATCTTTTATAAACTT